CACAATTTCATTCAGACAAACCCAGCACAGTGATGGAGAGAGCCACGGTTTGATATTTGTCATTCAGGCGAGATTAGACGGAAGCTCAAGTGATGAATAAAACATAATAATGCATTTAATAAACTAAAAAGTAAATCTAAACCAATAGCAGCTCATCAAACTGTCACATAACCAACAGCCTAGTTTATTTATGAATCGTAGAAAATGATGTCCTTGTGTGATCACAATCTAACTGCAACTTTGTGAATTGGTAAAATAATAAACATCCTGACAGTCGTGATGAAGCTCAGGAGTCATCTTCAAAACAGCCACAAGTGGTTTAACTGCAGCTGATGAACTGTGACTCTGTGTAAGAGCTCACCTGTCTGAAGAAAAGCATTTATAAGTGCTATCTGATGCTGCAGGTATTGAGAGAAAAGACTCCTACAAACAGCTGGAAGCAACAAACTTCAGCTCCTGTTTTGTCAAAACCTGAATTACACTGATTATTAGCGAGTCTTATTAATTGACCTGTAACAGACTCTGCCTTTTTTCATGTTTTTGGGCCTTTGGGATGTTTCTGTGTGGAAAATGGCCACTTTCTCAATGTATTGAATGATCTGGATGTTTTTGTAATTTCATCCTGGAAAAAAAAAAAAAAACAAGATCTGAGAAGCCAATTTAAAAGTTTAATATCTCCAGAAACATAATTTGTGTTCCTACCAATGAGTCCACGTCACCATTATGTCAAAGAACAGGACCTGTGTCTTGCCACGTACATCAAATTCTACTGTTTCATATATTCTACAATATGAATTGTTTGTATCTATCTGAGTTAAAAGTGGTGCGAAAATGCTTCTTGGTCCATTTTACTGAGATAATCATCATGACTTTTAGGTCAAACTTAGCAGAGAGCTCATTTAGACATGAAGCTATAGGATGCCGTCAGATTTACAGAAACCAGCACATGTCTGAAAAGAGCTTGACTGTAATACATTCAAACCAAACAGGGCGACTTAAAGCACACTGTGTATACTGGTTTAAATTAGGATTCACGGTATATGTCTGTGGAAAGCACTTGTCACAATAAAACAATTCTCCCTCTCAGTGTGCTGACAAAAGAAAGTAAGTAAGAGTTGGAGAAATAACATAACTAAGACAAAGTATGATAAGCAAGTCAATATACTGTCTATTGCTGCACTCACTGCTTTTATTTGCAGCTTTTTGTAGCTGCAAGTCGGGGAAGAAAATTTGGTTATTTGTGTGTGTGTGTGTGTGTGTGTGTGTGTGTGCAGGGATTTGTGACTCCCTGGATATAACTTCCTGTGAGCTGTGAAGAGATAACACCAGACAATATGAATGTACCTCCCATCCACCCAAACACACATAAAACACACATACACAAATCATCCTTCAAATGCCTCCACTCTGGATAATTGAGTTTTCTCTGCCGGTGCTGCCGACAGAAATATAAACACTGCGTCACCATGAAAGCTCTCCGTAACGCTGTTAACGCTTGGTTTTCCTGCTTATTAGCTAAAACTAGAAGAAAGAACAGTCTGAGCAACAAAAAAAAAAGATGATCGGCTTTGTGGTTTTACCGAGGAGAGGTGCGCCAGCTACTGCAACAGTGAAGAAACAAGTGGAGGAGGAGATGGAGATAACAGGGAGGAGCATGTTTGTTATAGCAATCAGTTTGGTTTACAGGAAAATAATGAAGACTGTCGATTTCATAAGAGCTGTGTGACTCAGAGGTGCTATCCTTTCTCCGCGCACACTCATCCTCGTACAAATTTGTACTCGAGCGGTTGCCAAAAACACATCATAAGGACGCCGCTTCCTGACCTCCATTCTGCCTAAAGCATTAATACAATTACAGCGTCCAAGACGAAAAAGGGATTTGGGATTGTGATGTATAGCTGATCCAAATCGACCTTGACTGTGAAATGGAAGGATTAGCGTTGAAGAACATTTTCTTGGCACCTTGAGGAGTGTGTATGTTGTGTTTGTGCATGCATATTTTGACATCATAAAGAGGAAACACAGAACTGTCAGTATAGCTACTTGATACAGAAGCTGTCTGCTGTCAGTGAGAGTGAGTAATGATGGTGATGAGTCACTGCCAGTCTAACCTTGACTCTGACAAGGCTCGATTGGATTAAAACGTCATGGATGGCTTCTCCTGAGGAGCTTCTCTAACTGGCAGAGGAGACGACAGAAGCGCTCGAGCTCATAGTTCGCGTGTTCGTTAAATAAATTATTTGCATGTAATAACGGGATAATAATTCTTTGATTTTTTCAAGAATGCAGAAGGTTGCATTTAAAGCATAAAGGTTGGATTATTAATTGCTTTTAAATGCAGGAATTCTTTATTGCAGTTGTCTCATATTTCGTTTCTGCAGTGATAAGATTCAGCGACATTGTAAATTAGAATAAATGTTCTGAACAAGGGCGAAATATATAATAATACAGAATACAACAGAAGTGAGTACACCCATGTGCGTCATCAATGAAGCATTAGTTCTTATTTATGTTCTTACTTGTGCTCTTGTGTTGCTCTTGTTAGAAATGTGAGCGCTGTAGCGTCTTTTCTTACTGCAATAAATTATATTTACGTCATTAACTTTTTCCTGGCTACTGCTCCCCGTGCAGCTGACTAAACAATTTGCATCTGTTTGTCATCTAGACTTGTTAATAAAAGGGGAAAAAAAAACCTTCATTACTTTCTCACCTGTTTAAAAGGTGAAGCGATGTTCAATAATTAGTCAGCTATTTAGATGAAGCAAATTGAGCCTTTTTTCAATAAACTCTTCTTTGATTAGTTAAAAACCACCAACTGTGATGAATCATTTTTTATCCTGAGGTGAATACATTGTGAAGCACTACAGCCTTGGGCTTTGTGTTTTCTGTTTATCTGGGAATCTCTTCCCCTCTTCCACCTATTTCTGAGGTTTGCATCAACTACATTCAGCTTGAGCCTGAGTTACGCTCCCAGGTACTGTCTGTGGAGCTCACCCTGTCTAAGTCTGAGACATGTCAAAAACCACTCCCTAACAGCGCTAGTGCATTATTATTGCTTTTTTTTATTTGAGTGGACTCTGAGTGTGAAATATAAGCTGCAAAAATTCCCAGTGTGGGAAAAAAAAAGCACTTTTTTGCTAACAGTCCCAACGTGCAACGTGTCACGTTTGATAGATGTGAAAATGAACGTAACAGTGCACCTGTCAGCAATGGCACTAAATGATGATGATTAATTAGAGTATGTGAAATCTTAGTTATCTGCTCACTTTAGGGTAAAATAAGAGTGAAGTAAGGAGAGATTGCAGACCTGGGCCTTCGTCAACGGAGGACATTAATGAAAAGAAGAAAGTCCGACTGATTAAAAATCCAGTGCAATATCTGATAAGACGTGTGGAAAGTCATTGTGAACAAAAAAGAACGCTTTAACTGACCACCGCTGGTTGGAGATGTAGAAGTGGTGGTGCTGAGGGTCTCTTAGACATACTATGATATCTACTGTTAAACATGGAGCATCAACCCATCAGGAACCTGTGCTCATATGGAAAGATGATTGGACGACTCTGGACACTCGTATATATTTTAAAGACATCTGACTGGACCCTCTTTCTTTCTGTGTGCATTCGAGTTAGTAAACCTGTTATCTGTTGTTAGTTAGACTTTGCAGTGACGTGTATAATTTTAACCAACATTTTGCTTGTTGTTCCTGTTTGTCATGACAAAGCTGAGCTGATGTTGTTGCTGCTTCGTGTGTACTGAGGGACGTGTTTCTTGCACTGTGAAAGTTATTAGTTTGCCATTCTTGGCACAGTGTTGGGAATATTCTTTTTCGCATTGTTGAGTCATGATATTTGTGTTGCTGCAGAGTGTGGACAGAATCTCATATGTTAGTTCATCATGCCTTAACAAGCAAAACAGGATTCCGCAAATTAGAACTGCTGTAGATGTTCAGTTGATTTGTGTGATTGAACCTCTGTAGATACTTTGTTTTAAGGCAATCTACACTTGTAAGGCATGTAACAATGAGTGAAAATATGTACTCATTATTACTTATTTCATTTTAATTCTGTGTGTCAGAGCCTCACACACCTACTTATGCCACATAATATAAAAAACGAACACTAAAGAGCATCTTGTCCGGAGCCTAAATCTCCTCGGCGGCCACAACTTTACGAATCAGTGATATTACACAGTCCTGTCCTGTTTTGTATTAATTTGTGATTCGCACTGGACACTGTGGTCCCATACTTTATCTTTCCATACATACTACAGCCGTCCTTACAAAGTGCTGTTTCATGCAGTGTGCATACAGTTGGGACACACAACTTTGTCATATTATTGTTCCATAAAGCCTTGGACCATCTTGCTCATATATTCAACACAGTCTGTAAGAAAAAAAGTTAGCTGTCATCTGGTTGTGCAGCAACTTAGGTGCAACACTATGACGCATTCTCCGCTTGTGGGTCAGAATGACCAGAGAAACATGCTGACTATGAGACGAGATGTTGTCGGATATCCTGGTATTTTAGGGATACTGCATTTGATAAATTATGTATTGGGACAGACTAAATCTTTTTCTAGCATACTATACAGTGGTGGTGGTGGTAGTAGGAGTACTGAAACACACCCTCTGTTTTGTTCATGGCTGCTGCTTTACTATTGTGCACAAGGACATTCTGTATGTGCGCAAATGGATTCGTAACGCAAATGCTGTTCCACTGACAGACAGCTGATGGTAATAACATGCCAAGAAACACTGCAAAGCAACAGAAGACTAAAAGTGCCGATAAGGATGCACGATTTACCATATCTTAAGGTCTTTTTAACATTTTATTCAACACGTCTGTTTGGCCTCAAGGACACACATAATGCATTTTGAGAAGAAACACTGCATGTTGATTATTTAGAACAAAACTCCACAGGGCATTTAGTGATTTCAATATTGACTACAAAAACCTGTAATTTTCATATCTAAACGCATGTGTCTGTTTGCCACCTCCTACCTTCAGGTCACGTTGCCTGGCGTGCTCCATGTCCTGCATGGCGCAGCAGTGGGCCTCCTGCAGACGCTGCTGTCGCCTCTGATGCTCCGTCTGCAGCTCATCCAGCTGCATCCTCAGGTGCTCTCGCTCCTGGCTGAACTGGTGTTGGAGCTGCTGCAGCGACGACTGCGACTGGGAAAGCTGCATCTCCAGGCTCTGCTTCAACAAGGAAATCTGCACAAGGACGGACGCAGGAACAAATATTGGACCGGAGGAGAAAGTGCTTGTTAGCGAGACGAGCTGCCGCGTCTCCACCTTTGCATACATAACTAGCTGGATACAAAGCAGCGAGGTGGGGTACTCAGTGTGAGAAGAGCAAGTTCAGCCCGTCTCCAGGGAGCAGCATCTTTATGCAGCAGAGAAGGGCAAAGAGGGGGCGGCGATCAATTAGGCTTAAACAAATACATAATCTTGAAGCCTCTAGCAGAAGGCCGTTTTACATTTTCCAAACAAGTTGCAGTTCACCACAGCATGTAATAAACTAATGTTGCAACGCAGTTAATGTAGAACGAGAATACATTGTTCGGAGGAAGCAAGGTGACTCACAAAATCAGTCTGTCTAGACAGTTTAGGATACTGAATATATGCTTGTGAAGTGTCGAGTGAAGAACAGCCTTGTACAAGCTGCTTTGGTGATGCTGTATTTAACTGTTGTCATGCCAAAAGACTCATGTGTGTTGGAAAACGTGATAAAGATAATATAGGGATGAATACATCAGTTGCTGAGAAAACTGTGATTTGCTGCCAAACGGTCGACAGGTTTATGTATAAATATATTACATGTACTCTATGTATAGAAACAGGAACACCTGTTGGCAGCGTGTGAAGTCGCTTTAGCCCAGAGATGATAACCTTTTCTGCTGTTTTTCAGTTGCTGTTGCACATAACGGAACACCTTCATCAACCCACTGAACCTCGGAGTTCAAAAGCAGGTTTACAAGGCATGTCATCTTTAAAATATTTCCTAAATGATCCTGAAGAAACGCTCTTTCATTTTGCCTGTACTGCTGTGTATGTACAGCGAAATGACCATAAACTTGATTTGATTTAAATGCCACTGTTGATCAGAGTCACATACTGTAAAATCAGAGAATCATCAGACTTCTAAGTGTACAATCAATACATTTAATCCATCTCAAATCAATTTCACGTGTCTGATTTGAAAATACATTATATGAAATGATGCCCCAGACTCTGTAAAACGACAAATGTTGTGCTCTATGACAGAACTGAGAAGCCATGATGGACTTAACACACAAATTCAGACGTTTCAGGTGAACTGCAGGCTGTGTTCACACAGAGCAGAGAGGAGATGATAAGAGAGACTAAGAAGAAAATCAAACATACACCATCAATCCAGTTGATGTGGAGAGTAGTGAGAAACATGCCTACTCTGGACAGACTGTTAAAATGTAAATAATAAAATAGACATACTATGCGGAGTCCCCAGTTGTCTCCTCATGTTGGTAATTGAAAAAAAAAAAGATTTATGACTTAACTTTGTTATGCTGCATAAAAACATGTCTGAGTTCTTCCTCTTACTAGTCATGGTTGGTCTGTTTCCATAGAAGGACTTTATATTCCAGTAAAAAAAAAATGAGCCCACAGTTAGCAAAAAAAATTGGGACACAAGCAAAAAAAATGTCCAGAGACTTGTTGGGGTTCAGATATTTAACAGCTGTGTATGACAATATAAAACATTTTGATGATTCAGCATTATCTAAAGTTTACTTGGTGATACCACTAAGTTCCTGAACTATGAAGTCATTCAGGTGATTGTTGTACGACTGTCAACACTGTCAGTGCAGGAGATGAATGGTGTAGACTTGGGTTACCTATTTTTTTGGCATTAAACAGTTGAAGTCAGTGCAACAAGTTGCAAACTTAACTTAGTCTGTACCAATAAAAGTAAATCCAGCTCCACTGCAGTTCACCAGCTAGTAGCTAGCAGTGTCTGTTTTGTTGTTTGGGCTGGGAGGTAGATTATAGAGGGTTTATCACCACTCAGAGCTGTATCTTTCTGTAGGACTGACAGTGCAGACTGGATTTCATAACTGAACTCCTAACTAGAGGTGCAGACAACCAGATCTGCGCTCACATGTTTGAGGATAATATTGACCTTTAAATAAAGTGTCAATTCTAATGACGCTTCTATTTCCAATGCTGATACACACATTGGTAGTTTACTACTGCGAAGCATCTTGTGCGTGAGCCTAAAGTTAAGTCGGGGTTTTGAAGTCACATCAGCCCTCGCATTAAGGCCTCAGTGGAGCTGACAACAGAGGCCATTAGATTTCTCAGCAGCATCGTCTCTGTCAGTGCGTATCTATCAAAAGATTGACTGCTGCTCTGATGTGGCATTAGAGTAAATAAATATGCTTTAGCTGATTGTGAGGTGCGGAACGGGCGCATTAATCACCGATGATGAATGCTGAGACAGCGCGGGCATGTTGACAACGAGCAGCTGATGCACAAGACATGCGAAAAAAAAACGAACATAAATAAAGTCATTGATTCTGCGTGTACGGTGACCACAGGAGAGCTTAGTCATGCTACATTAATATTACGGCACAGTCATTAGCCACAGCGCCCGGCTGCGGTGTGTGTTATGTAGCGCTGCATAATGAATGTGTGAGTGTGTGCCAGTGTGACGAAGAAATAAGACACAGAAACACAGTCTTACGGGCACAACACAAGCTCAGAAGAGAGGCAGTTGCTCTTATTGCCTCTCTTATCTTTTCTCTCACTGCCTATTGATTACTTTTTTTTTTTTTTTTTTACTGCTGCTACAATTACAGCCATTCCACTACAAGCTGTAGGCATCAGGTGTTTTGTGTTCAGAAAGATCTGCTGATTGGAAGTTGAGGATTAGACCATTTTTAACCTGCAAGCAGGGGAAACTGCACTAAGGGTTCCTCTAGCTGCAGGACAAGCAAACAAACTCTTTGTCTTTTCTTTTTCGACTTAAATAAAACAATATATTAGATTTAGACACTGTGACGTGAATCATGAAATAAGGCCAATGAACTCATATTACAACTTTTGTTTGCTGCTTGATATAAAAAGAAATCTGGCTCGGTTCTCACTTTTTAATGACTAAGCAACACGAGAAGTCTGTCTGATAGAACATCCTTTACTCTGATTTAAGGGTTCTTGAATACACCCGTTTTTAAGACGTATTTATTGACAAGACACAGAGTTTGTTGACTTGCAGGCATCATATGTGTACAGCAAAATGAACGAGGATAAGGGGAGAAACAGTGAAGATTCAGTTGTAAAAAGGAAACATCAGTTGTAGAGATGCACAATAAATGGAATATTAACCAGGATCATGATTAAGGCTTCCCACAATCAGAGCAACATGACTGACTGTGAGTCTGCTGATAATATCACATGGTTCCAACTTGGGTAAATGTGACATTAGGATGCCTTATTTCACTCTTTTCAAAGGGATTTTGGTTCACCATCTATCGGAGTTGCTGTGTGGAGATTAGAGGCTTCTCTGGACCTCTGCTGTAGCCTGCATGTGAGGCATTTAGGGGACATAAATGGTGCTGCGTATCCATAAGCTGATGTTGAGCAAGTGAGGTGTTTTGGGAGCAATTTTATTTATGTTATTGGCTCTAGGAGACACTCTGAATTCAAGAAGAACCATAAGTCATACTTGCAGATTTGCACATCAACATAGCACTAGTGGAAGTGAAAGTAGTGCTCTGTATATATAAATGTGAATATGCAATAAAAAACATTTTGGAGCAAAAATCCTAAATCCTAAAATGAATAATTGTTATAAATAATGGCGATCCCAATATTGGCGTAAATAATTGTGATTATCATGTTGGCGGTAATTGTGCAGCTCTGGTCAGCTGTATAGAAATGTTGTGGACCAAAGCAGGTTCTCTGTCAGCAGAGACCTGCAACAGTTGCAACTACACAAGGTAAAACAACTAATTTGTTCTACACCACAAAGTGACGAGTCATCCAAAGCAAAACAACATTGCCTGCTTTTACCAGTGTTACACCAAATGACATGGTTCCACGCTGTACATTCTGTTTTCTATGCAGATATGCTCCAGGTCATCTGTGAAAACTCTTCTTTTCTTTTTATATAACGATTTGCATCACAGAAAAACACGATATTGCATTATCAGTTTTCACCAACACCGTGCAGCCCTATTTGACACAGTTAAAAAAGACAGGAGAGACGGGGAAGAAGGATGATGTGCATCGTGATCAACACGTCTAAGCTCACGTTGGCAGGTCGTACCTGTTCCAGCAGGTCCTCCACTTTCCTCTGCCAGCTCTCCCTGGCGTTGCTCAGTTCCTGCTCCTTGCTTTGTGCCAGCTGAGTCATTGCCGAGGTCTTGTCCTCCTCGTGCTCCTCTCTCAGCTCCTCGCGAAGCTTCTTACACTCCTGCCTATAACACAGCACAACACACACGTTTATGTTTCAGGTGCTGTGACCCAGTGTGATTCACAGAGCCTGTCACAGAACCACTAAATTCATCACAACTTTCCAAAAAGACAAAAATGAGGAGAGCAAGTTAGTGCATTTATATTTTAGTAAATAATATAATGACAACTACATTCATAATGTATAAGGGAAGAGTTTGGAAAAGATAGAAGCAACAACAAAGAGGAGTCGACCCCATTAATGTGACCTACAGAGGGTGATAAAAATGATCCAAAGAAGGATGGTTTTTGCATTTACTCTAATTCCTGTGAACTCAAATAAATAAAAATGGTGGGGGGTGTATTCCTGGACCCTTTTTAGACGCACAGTTGATACTGCTTGAACGCTTCCAGCTAAATTAATCAGGCCTTTTTGGTCATCCGGGGCTGCAACAAGATGAACTTCACACATATTAGGGTCTCATAAAATTGATTTGAAGAACATATTGAATCATGTCTTAAGTGACAAGATTAATGCAAGTATATCATTCACTTTCTCGTGTGTTCTGAACTGTATTCATGGGCTACCTAGAAAAATAAAAAAATCAGTCTAACAGGTCGTGCTCGTGAAGAAGGTATGAATACAAGTCAGCTAATCTCTTTAACAGCTTTTCCATTCTATTTTTTGTGTGTGACTTTCTAGCATTATGGCTCACATGCACAACAACATTATCAGGTGAGAAAGGAGAATCAAACAAACAGAAAGAAATTTGCTGCGAAGATAAAGGTGCTACATAGCGCTCAATATCCCCTTTATGGGAACAATAAATTGCAGCGTATCACCAGACCTCCACACCGCATCTACTGAGCGACCATCACTCTTTACCACTTCAGCTAACAGCTCCAGCATGGCAGCGTGTGTGTGTGTGTGTGTGTGTGCGCGCATTGCCAACGCGATAGCTTGTGTGGGAGTTGAAATGGCAGCTGTTAAATGAAGTATCCAGGCAAACACGTTTTTTTTGTCACTTTGAGAGCTAGAAAGTGTCAGACCGAAGGCAGGCTTTCACACACGCGAACACACACACACAAACACCGACACACACACAGCAACGGAGTCACACACCAGACAGTCACGTTCAAAACGCAGCACGGTTGACACGTGTCATCATTCACGTCCTGGTTCAGTATAAAGCATGCAGCCACAGACATCCCCGCCTTCTCTCTCTCACGCACACTAACGCAGGCCTTAGGCTTCAAAGAGTCTCCGGTCTTCCTAATAAGCGTTGTTCTATAGCATCTGCTGGGCAGGAAGAGAGATGAGGGCAGATGGAGAGAGGTGAAGAAATGAAGGAGTGGATGAAGGGAAGGTTGATGGAACTGTCAAAGATGGAAGGAATATCCAGATAAAATGTGGGATAATTGGCTGGATCCTGGTGGATGTGCAGGGAGATGTCAGGCACATGTTCTCATTTAAGGTGTGTCAGATTCTGCATATGGCCTTGGCTGTGCCGTATGTGTGCTCAGAATAAGCCATCTCTCTAACTGTGCATAAGCCTGTGATTGGCTACCTTGCACTAGCACGTGTCTTTAGTGTCTCTAGGTTACATAAAGTACATATACAAGGGATATGTAAAGTATCCATGCATTCCTGTGTGATCCGTCCTATGCCCACAATGATAAGTGTGCACACAAATCTGAATTATTGTTAATCAACACAGTTTAATACACATTTATTATGAAGAAGTGACATTTAGAACTGCATGCTGGATGATCTTTAGGAGACATTTTTTATTAATGAGCATGAGATGTGACTATATTCTGCAAAATTCTTCGTCCAGGAACTGTATGTAAAGAATTTTATATAATAGATTTATTTTTTTTGTCAAACTAGTGTTTCAGTACAGAATAACAAAAGTTCAAGGGCACACTTTTGGAGACATTTTTGAAATACAACAGCACAGTCAGGTGTGCTAAGAAATGTGGAGATTAAAGTCCGGCACCTGACTGGAATTAACCGAAACCTAATATATGGCGTATTAAACAAGAAATGTTCTGGCAGCTGCTGCGCCCACCATCACAGTAAAGAAAGGACACGTCATGATCAACGAAGACTCACGCATGGGTTTAGGTCCTTATTTATCTAACTTTCTCAATAATCAAAAAATAGACACCAACTAATCGCAACAATATTTACTCTTGACATTGTTTTCAATGTATTACCCAGACAGTTTTACACATGGTTTAATATCTAGAACGTAGATGATAGAGGCATATGAAGTTAGACACTAAATGTCTTGTCATTATAACCTGATTCTTTTGCTGTTGTATTGTTGACTATTCACGCAGCTGTTCACATTCGATTGGTGTAATTTCGATTGGGACTTACCTTATATGGCAAAAGGCTTAACTTTCAATATCACATATCATATAATTAACCATACGTAGGTCTACATAGTATCATTTATCATTGCACAATGTGTTGATGTTATTTACTTTCTGCTAATTTTTCAGATAAGTCTGGTTAATTAATTCAAATAATATTGTAGCAAGCCAAAGAATCAATAGTTAGTGGTATAGGAACTCTTGCTCGGCAACAGTTTATGCTCATACTGACAGTTGGTTTGCTCTCGACCAGGTTAGTATGCCAGCATAAGTAACTGAGCTTCAGCTATTCTGAATTTGTTTTATGGAACTGAAATAATGTGACAATAAGTCAGACTAACAGCAACAAGCCTGGCTTATTAGGTTAGCTTGCTTTATGGATTTATGGAACAGGCCCCTGGTGTTAGAAACATACTCTGGTTTGCACCGCTAACCTTATAGTAACTACTCTTTCAGATATTTTTGAAAGCAGCTATGACTGCATAAAAGAAAATGTTGTGTCATGAGCTGCAGCTGATCTGAATTCATAGTTTCGCTATTCCAACACAGCTTTCCAAAAGCCCTCGGATGGGATTAGTACTACTGATACTGATAATGGAGGGAATTAAATATTAACTGTCCTTCTGCTATTTACTTTCACAATGTCAAATCACAGGCAGAGGTATAAAGTTCAGACACATATTCTCAAACACAAACATCACTGTCCACAAAGCCGGCTGGAGGCATCCTACACAAACTGTGTTGGGAAATTCAAACAGCCAGAAGACTCGGCTTATCCCCAGCAGGAATGTCGGGGTTTCACCTTGCTGCTAACTTTCTGGGAGGCCTCGTGTTTTAAGACACGTAATAAAGGGCTAAAAAACTGTCTCTCACTCATAAAGCCTGCTCTGGTTTTAGCAGCCCAACAAAGCAGCATGTAATGACATAGTTTTATGGCTCACAGGCTTTACAGCATTTGTCAGGCAGCTGCGATTTGTTGTGGATTGAAGTATTAAATTCAACAGCCATGAGCTCTGATGTCAAATTGCGATATCTGTTCAATATTAAGTTAGACTGATGCTGCCGGACGACATGAATTTATGTCAAACCAGCGGCTCAGTGAAGCTGCACCTGAGCTCAAACCGATCGGCATGCTGAGATCCTCCAAATGACAAAGAGCCATGTTCTTATTTAGTCATTCATTCGTTGTGCTTGTTCTGTTTCACTCCTTCCACCCACCAGAGTTCCTCAGCGTTCAACCGTGACATCGAACCTGAACTTTGTGTAGTTGTTTCCTCTGTTACAATGAAATTACTTAGTATTGTGTTACTTTCCGTCTTCGTATCCCTTCCTGTCTTTGTGCTCACCTGAGTCTTGTTAGCCTTGTGAAGCCACACTAGCCTCAAGCATTCCAGCCATTCCTTATTCTTGTGTATTTTCTGTGTATATGAATTTTTATCTGTTACGAGGTGTTTTTGTTTTCTTTGCTTGACTCTTGTCAAGATATAGTTTGTTTCCTAAGTTGAGTTTTACTTGACCTTGGTTTCTACTTTGCTTGCTCCTCTCTTTAGTTGCTATGCTAGCTGATTTCCTGAGTATGACCTTGAGCTTTCAAGTTACGAATCAGTTTCAAATCTATTTCCTGGGTTTACACTGTTATGCAATGCTAACATGCTATTTTTTTGCAATGCATTTAGCAATTTTCAAAGTAATTTCACTACATTTACTTAGCTCTTATGTTCCATCATTTGAAATTATAACATGTGCAGATGTTTTACATAAACCTTGTTCAACTGAAAGCCAGAGAAAGAAGGTAATACTTTGCAGAAGTCTGATCTGCGTTCAAAACCGTATTACTTCGGCCTGTACAAATATGTGACAAGCATAATTGGAAAGCTCCAGTTGAATGGTAAATGGACTGCACTTATATAGCACTTTTCTACCTTAGTGGCACTCAAAGTGCTTTACAATGTGTTTCTCATTCACCCATTCATACACCAATAGCGACAGAGCTGCCATGTAAGGCGCTAATGGGAGCTACCATTGGGTTCAGTGTCTTGCCCAAGGAGACTTCGACTGTGGATGGGTCGAGGATCGAACCGCCAACCTTATGATCAGAGGACAATCGCTCTACCACCTGAGCCACAGCCGCCCAGTTCCACTCTTTCTTGTGATATGATATTACCATATCATTGCATATATATGTTAATATCAAGGCATGACTGCATTGCATATGAACATATCTAGATGTCAACACATTTATGCAGCCACAGGTCCATTAGTAATTCAGACGAGAGTATTGAATGTAGAGATGGACACACAGTTGTAAGCCGGTTGTAACTATGACTAAATTTGATGTACATTTTATAGCTGGCACTTTATTTCATAAACAAGAGACTGGGATTGTTGTAAAAGCAGAGTTGTGTGGTTTCATCTGACATGTGACACACCTTAAATACTTCCAGAGCAATTCAACTGAGAACAAGAGATGGGAATGAAGTGAAGTGCCTGCGCTTGGCTCTAAGGGTTAACATCTGAGCATGCCAGCATTTCCTAATTAGCAGTAAACGCAAGTACAGCTGAGTCTGATGGGAAAGTCACCTTTGGTCATCAACCCAAGTGTGACAATGTGAGTGACTGATGAAGTTAGAATTTATCCCAGAAAGGCCATGAATGTCAGCAACATTTCATGGTAATCCATCCAAAAGTCCTCAAAACATGTCACTGAAAACCAAAAATGTCAGCCCAGTCAGTGATCACGTAGTCTGGGAGTAACAAGCAATCCATCTAATGTTGAAGTCTTTCACTGAAAAGCTCAGGAGATCCCCCCAAAGTCACTCATTCATCACAATAAATGTCCATACAAAGAAATCTCCTTCCAATAGTTGATATTTCAACGGGATCCAAAGAGATGGACCTATGAACTGACCGTTATTGCCATTCCTAAGCCTGCGCCTTTATCCTGGCTAAAAATAATCACACACATCTACCAGGACGCAGCAAACCGAGGGAAGTCAGTATAAAGATTTGAGCGCCTAACACGCTCAATGAGATCTAGTGTATGACCGGGACAAACTAGCACGGTCCCGTCTGCGCTTTATTCTGCTGATCCGCTGAACCTCCTCTGTTCATTTGGTAATCCTGAGAGCTCTTTCCATGATTACACTATCACAGACAAACCGTCTGCTTCCACTGTGAAACGGGGATTAAAGCCAGCCTCCTTAATTCAGACGGCTCACTAACCACAGTGTACTCACCCCAACCGCCAAATGAATAGATGTTCTCTGGAGAATAAAGAGCTCTGTGCACAAAGACAAAGGAAGGTGAATGAAAGCTAACAAAGCGGAGACCACGAGGACGGGAAGTGTGACACACAGACAATAGCTCTGTATGAATATGCTGCCTTATGATGGATGTTTCTTATTTAATATAACTTTTACAGCGAGTTGACCACTGCTTTGAAGACTGACTGTCAGTGATTCTGAGATTGAATTGGTATTTTGGTAATCACTTAGTTTGTCAGCACAGCAGACAGAAAATGACAAGAAGCATCCTCTAATCTGTCCGTGATGGAGCAGTTTCTACTCATTAATATCACACCTAAGCCGCTCTGACTACATGCAGTTTACTTTTGTGTCACTTTGTATTTAGGATCCTCCCACATTAGAAGAACTGTACAAACATGAAGTATGCAAAGGGTGAAATTAATACATGTTTTCTGAAGTAGGTCCCTGTTAGAAGGAAGCATGTTTGGAAATACTTGGAAAAAAACAACTTCTGGGGAACAAAGAGAAGAGAAAAAAAAAGGCCTGGAGGGAAGCTGCTGACAGATTTAGGTTGTGATGACTCTCAAGATAAGAGAAGAAGGATGCTCAAGGTTCCTAAACAGCTTGCTGGTATTTTAACATCAATTCTCTTCAATTTGATGTAAGATTTGACACTTATTGACCTTCTATTTTTGTGCTTTTCTCAATTCCTTTCTGAATCTTAGAGGGGAACATGAGGTCACTATAAACCTTGTATAAAACAGCGTGGTCTGGGGTGCTGTCATTACATGAAACGCTCGCTCTTGATACTAGTTTAAACCAACCTATTTCAAGTTTCCGTGAATTTAAAATGTAATTTAGTTATGTAAGTAGAGAATTACTGTATACCCAGTGATTTCAATGCTAAGTATCCAGAATGCAGTTATCGTCAAACAACAAGACGGCAAAGGAGATCACAGAATAGTGAAGCAATAGAAAGAAAATGAAGTGGAGAAGTAAAACACATATTGCAGTCAGGCTCTGATATATCTGAAGGTTCAGAAAGAGAATAAAGGCTGGAAATATTACACAGTATCAAGTGTGACCTTTACAAAGAGCTGAGGTATTAACTGATTAAACAAACTTGCAGGTTGAGGGAATGAGCTGAAACCACAGCAGACATACAGAAATCACCAGGAAGTGGGGACATGAGGAAACCGTACCTTAGCATCCAGATATAAGAAAAAACACAAACCACTATTTAAACAGTAGTTTAAACAAAGATCAGATTCTGGAGGAGAAAGAGGCAGGTAGAAATATCAAATATCAGTCAGAAATATCATTTATGTAAATGGATGTAGTTAGGCTACACTCATTCCTGACAAGTGTAATAACATCAGTAAACCAATTACAATGCTATATGTTTGACAGCAAAGTGTTGTTTATGTGTCTTCTTTAGAATATTTATATCACGAACATAAGTGATCAAAAAATTAAAAAAAATTTAAAAAAGCATTGTTGATCTGCTTTAGCTGGACGTTTTGGAAAGGAGAAGAAAAATACATGTCGACCCCTTTGGATGCCCTCCTGCATCACCCAATGGAACCCCCCCATAAAATCCACCAAATAGCCATTAAAAAAACAGCACAACATGTTAGATAGTAAGAGTAGTAGGTAAGAGGAGTACTACCCTCTTTAAAAAAAATCAACAAAAAGTGATGGTCACCTATGCCATCGCCCTGAAACTGTAGCAGAGGAATACACATCAGAAGGACCATCAGCCACACATGAAGATGTTGGTGCTTCTGAAAACTAAGGCTAACTTATACATTGCAACTTCATAGCAAAATGAAGTTTTGTCATACACATTCTAAGGTTATTTCTTATAATCTATATAATTTTATCTATTGATTCGTAAGCAATTCAAATGGAGGAAAACAAATCATTTCGAGACATTACAAATGACTTGACATGTATGAAGACAGCCTCTGTTAATGTTAACTAGTCCCTGCATAATCCCTAACTTCTTTATACTCTCACCTATCCACCTGTGATTGAAATGAACACTTTCTGATCACTTTTTGGGCGTTAATGAAAGTAGATGTAATTATTCATTGCCTGAAGTTCACGTAAATCCAATGTGAGGAGCGTAAAAGTTAATCAAGCTATTTAAATACACACACAGAAAACAGATGTGATAATTTATCCCAACATTCATCAATGTCTGGAGTCACTTCAGCATCAAAAGGACAAACTCTTCTTCAAGCACAAACATCTTCTGCAATTTTGACCATTAGGTGCTTTTTAATGCTGAAAAAAACTCTAGCAGTCATTTACCAACTTCCCTGTGTGAAAAGTACATCAGTTCACACCTCAAAACAGTCAATTTTACTCTTTGAGGTTTTTAGAATAATCACACTTCAAAGGTCTATGGACGTTAACAGAGACTTTGAGCTGGGGGCTTTAACACTGGATTGAGCTGAGAAGTTGCAGAGCCCACCAAGGCTAATGCTCTGTCACGGTCAATACTGGCAGCCAGATGACCTGTCTGTGTGCATGTGTGTGTGTGTGTGTGTGTGTGTGTGTGAGATGTGTGTGTACTCTATTAACTATGGGAAATGAAAATAGGGAAACAGAAAGGCTTCAATTTCTCATCCATTCTTCATTTCATGCTCCGTCTTAGCTGAAAAGAAAAGACAAAGACAGCGGGTGGTTCTCTCTCCGTCTATTTCAAAGACACACATCTACCTGAGTGTTTCGGTCCATTTGAGCTCCAGCTCCAGAGCCATCTTGTCCATCTTAAGTTTTTCTTCTTCTTTGGTGGTGATGAGTTTGGCTTCATGCTGACGCTTTTGGGTCTCCAGCTCTCCCTGAGAAATGGACAGACAGACAGACAGACCTCTTAGTGTGCAGTCTAAACGCCGCCTCATGAGGCTTTTCTTCCAGGGCGAGAATCAAGTTATGCAGGAAAACTTTTGGGCATTTTTTGTAGCGTAAAAAATCAGAAACATCACAGCCTTTTTGAGTGACACTGCCACTGGCCAAAACAAACATGTTGGCTACTGGCGGTCTCCAAAAACAGCGGTGACACGGAAGCTCTGCAATAAACATCCCAGTCCACACTGCAGATCAATTGAAGGTTAAATAAAGATTGTAGCAGATGATTGAAAGAGATGACAAACAGAATGAAATTATTTGAATGTCATAACTGACTTACAGTCCAGTATTGTGGGTTTAGGATTGTTGGTCAAACCAAATGAGTAATACACACACATAGTTTTTCACAGTTTTCTTCAATTCTAAGATTAGACAAAAAAACCCCAAAAGACAACGATTACTTTTAAATATCAATTAACCCTGTGAACTCCGAAACCCACCAGTGGATCCGAAACGCATGTTATGTTTATCAAAAATAAACTAATTGCACCACTACTTGCTCCAGTAACACGCTAAAAACTTCTGCGCTCCTCAGTCAACCGAGAGGCCATGACTCAGCTGTGACCAACAGTCGTGTGATAAAAAAAAATTTGTTTCTTCATGTGAACTGCAGAGAGGAGATGAAAGGGGACACAGAGAAGACAAGAAAACGCACTTGACAAATAAAATGCATGCAGCCTGGCTCAAAAACAGTAAACAGAGGGGCAAATTTTTAGAAGATGATGAAACATCTCTGAAGAGTCGTGTGAGAAATGTCTAGATTGTAAAGGCTGTAAAATGTAAATAGTTAAATATCTTTAGTAGTACAACCACCATTTTCTACAACACATGTGAGCACTTTGAAAAATGTTAAACATACTGGTTCCATTTTTATTAACTTTTTGTGAAATAAATAATTAAATGAACCTAAGAAAGAACCCTATGTAATTATACAAAATAATTGTATCGGTCACATGACAAAATATTAAGGATCATTTGGCTGAACTGCAGGCTGTGTTTACTTTTATTTTTGGAATGTAACTTGGCTAGACTGCACAGAAGACATTTCTGACTTCTGTCTACTTCTAGTCATGGTTTCCACAGAGGTGCAGGACTTTATATTACAGTGAAAAACAAACCCACAGTGAGTAAAAACACAAGAGGAGCACAAAACACACAGAAACTACTCGAGGTTCACGGGGTTATGTAACCACAATAATCATTATTTACCCACTGATACAAGCTGCAGCATGATGACTTCACTAAGCTGTTTATTTTCTGGATGCTGTGTGTGTGTGTGTGTGTGTGTGTGTGTGTGTGTGTGTGTGTGTGTGCTGCTTCTATCTTTAGACCAATTAGAGTTTCACACCTTTAAAATGTGTGATCCTAAACTTGGCTCAAAGGCTGTGTGAGTGTTACAACCACGTTTTAGGGTTTTAGGTTACAAATCTATCGAGATTAAGGATACGTTTCAGCTTCAGCATGTTGTTAAGGTCATGGTTAAAGAATGTTTTTACATCAAATGTATTGTGCGTCTGACCTGCAGCGCAGTCAGTAGGTTGCTGGTCTCTCTCAGTCGGGCCCTGGTGGCGTCCAGCTCCTCCAGCAGTTTGTCCTGCGCCTCCTTCAGTGTGGAGATCTGGCCCTCAGCTGATCCAATGTCCTGCTCCCCCTGCTGCACCTCCCCCTGCAGCCGAGACACCTGCAGGGAGGACACACACACACACACACACACACACACACACACACACACACAGGCAGGCAGAGTCACACAGAGGGAATAAACTATATCCACAGCCTCTCCTCTGTTGCACTTCAGGGTGTATCTCAGAATGGCAGCAACCTTGAAACTACATCAGCATTTTATGCTCAGCGAGGTGGAATTTTCATCAAAAATGCATTCAATAAATGTTCCTATTTCTGATTTTTAATGAGCCAAGTCCATATACTTTTTGCCAGCGTGGCAGCATAAGTTTTGCAATGCATCAGATATTAATTTCCTTCGATGTTACAAGTGCAGGTCGATTGAAAATGTGTGCATGAAGAGCCCCAAAACAACAACAGACACAGTGTGGTGGCAGCTGTATACACAGAAAACCACTGTTTTCAGTGAAATGAAAACTCAGCATTTATTACCAAGACCAGTGGTGCCTGACTGAAGCCGGGACTGGATTTAAAAAATCCTTTACGCTAAAAAAGAATGACATTTTTTCTCTCTTTTGTTTTTCCAGCCATCTAAAGTAGTGTTTTAACATGCACACTTTCAGCTTGTACTGAAAACTAATCCAAAAACTCTTCTATAGTTTGATAGAAAAACGACCTGTTCAGGTGCAGTAAGTATCAGGTTGATAAATAATAAGACTTGACATTCAGGGTTCGAAGCGATCACACTTATCAATATTATAGAATAAGCTCTAAGCCAATTATATCTGCTGTCACATTTGTTTATGAACTGTAACCTTTGAGCTCAGTTTGGCTTTATACAGTCAATTTGCCACACAAGTCATTTTGTATATTTTACTGTGTCTTTTAAAAGAGATGGAAGCTACTTGCAAGAGAGCCTCCCCTCATTTTGAAGCGTCTATTATGACTGGGAAGTGTTTAATTCAGCTTAAAAAATGGTAAATACTATTTAACATTCCGGTCACGAATATTATTAAGGAGCCCAGGATTCAGATGGCAGTTTCTCTAACACACAGTTGCACTACCAACAGGAGGAAAAGAGAATAGCTATTTACAAATTCCTCACAATGCAACACAAGCAGACAGTTTTGACCAAACAATGCAGCATTTAATAGCTGTTTTGCAGTTTTCAGCCATATCACACGATAGGACTGTAATTAAAGATGGATGAACCCTGCGTGACGTCACCAGCGGGTTTTTCTGAGGAGCTGTTCTGAAGCTCAGTGTGGTGGCTCCGGCTGTCACCATTTTGGCAGTGCCTGACTCTGGCTAGCTCCCAGATAAATCCAAAAATAAGTGAGGAGGTGGAGCAGGAGTAGAGCTGAGGACTAACCTATGATGGCACCCACCTGTCACTAAAAGCAGCCATGTCCTTAATGCATAACTTTATGTCCTAACGCAAGTTTTTGTATGTTAAGCCAGCATCAAGCCACTGGAGAAACTGCAGCTCTGACTCTCATTTTGTAGCTGCTTAGATATGATTGATTGTTTTCATCAGTCGACAGTCAAAGGTCGAGGGTGAGCTTTGAAACCCTGCTGTTAAGACAACATGTCGGGGCAGTTCTATAACACCACAAGTGACAAGGGGGTCATTTTTACTTCCTGCTGTGAAAGCGCTAGCAATTGCGGTTTTGCCATTTCATGAAGCAGTTATGTTCCATCCATCCATTATCTATACACCGCTTAATCCTCACTAGGGTCGCGGGGGGCTGGAGTCTATCCCAGCTGACTCAGGGTGAAGGCAGGGGACACCCTGGACAGGTCACCAGTCTATCACAGGGCTACACTTAGAGACAGACAACCAAGCACACTCACATTCACACCTACGGACAATTTAGAATCACCAATTAACCTCAACATGTTTTTGGACCTTGTGGGAAGAAGCCAGAGAACCCGCAGAGAACCCACGCTGCACGGGGAGAACATGCAAACTCCACGCAGAAAGATCCCAGGTGTCCTCACCGGGATGGGAACCGGGGACCTTCCAGCTATGAAGTGACGGTGCTAACCACTGAAGCACCTTGCAGCCCCAGCAGTTAGGTTGTTCATTTTAATTATACATACTTTTTTAAATAGTGACTTACACTTGACAAAACATTACCTTAAAATTTGGTTTGTGGGTTTAATAATTCACAGACGCTTTAGGATATCTGTTATGATCAACACAGTTAGATATATGTTTAAATTAATAAAATTTAAAGTTAAAGTTCTGTCAAAGAAGAACATTAGGTAAACGTTAGAAACAAATGTTGGATAACAGCCTGTTGTCTTAGTAAAGCTGTTGGGAACAAAGAAACCGAGTGTTTTGTTTGAGGTCGATTCATGAATCTACAGATGGACTAGATAGATGAAATAAAGAAAAAGATCTTTAGAGGCACGTGAGTCAGGGTCAGATCCATCTACATCCCATCTAGTAATCCTAAAGACTACCTGTCTGAAAATTCTGCCACTTTGCCCGACTGCTTTTCCTGCTCATTCCGTCTCCTCCACCACACTGGACCTGCTCGCTTCAGGTTCCCACTCAGTGAGCCACCTGTCCTGTCCTTCAGCAGTCAGTCATCCACTCTGCCCCACTCGTAATATCGCGGTCAATGTATGGTCCCTTCAAGCCCGCAATAAATATTTATCTCACTCTCACGTCTAAACAATAGGTGTTGCTAGGCAACTGGACATGGATTGAGTGTTTAGCGCAGTGGTTTTCGATGAGGGGTAAAAAAATGACCTCTTGGTGGTCCAAGGTATAAATAATGATATCTTTTTCTTTTTATTCCAAACCCCCCAATATTCAATAGATAGTTATATATTTAAGTAATAATATACAACATTTCAGGGAAAATCATGAATTGAGAGAAGTAAGGGTTTTATTTGTTGAGTTGAATAGATTTAAAAACAGTAAGGGGGTAAGCTTGACCCCATTGCCGGTTCTAGGAGTAATTGTTTAGAAAGATGTAAACTGCATATGCTGAAGAAGATCCCTTGATTTGACTAAGGGGCGGCTCTGGCTCAGGTGGTAGAGCGGGATGTCCTCTAACCACCGAGGTTGGTGGTTCGATTCCCCTCCACAGTCAAAGTGTCCTTGGGCAAGACACTCAACCCAAAGTTGCCCCCAATGGCAGGCAGCACCTTGCATGGCAGCTCTGTTGCCATTGAATGAGAAAACATTGTAAAGCACTTTGAGTACCACTAAGGTAGAAAAGCGCTATGTAAGTGCAGACCATTTATTATTTCTTAAAGCTCCTGAACAGCCACTAAATTGATCTTGTCAACCTCAAAATGAGCATTTATTTGAATGTGTCTTTTAATACATGTATATTTTATAAAACCTCTACATTTTTGAGTGTATATTTGGTCCAAAAGCAACACAAGACAGCTTATATTGGTTCTAAAAATGCAAGTGTTTGCAAGTGTCAACTTTTTTCAAAGCTTTTACTGGTATAATTAGTTATATATAGGCAGCCCTGTCTCTACAGGGCTATGTTACATGGTGCTGGAGAGTTATCTGCACCTGTTATCATTGTGCTGCAGGAAAAAAAACAAAAAACAGGCTCTAACTTGTTTGTATTAATTTAAACCAATCACATCTGTCTATGCCCACGATGCAGCAATGATGTCCCAGTGCAAACATTAGTTATTGGAGGGAGAGGAGATGTGACATACGTGGAGGAAATGACAGGCTTCTCCCCAAAGTCTACATCTGGTGAGTCAGACTAGGTGGACGTTTGAAGTCCTACCTCCTCATTGGCTGCGTTGAGTTTGGACGTCAGCTCGTCCCCCAGCTCATCCAGCTGCTGCCTGAGCAGCGTCTTCTGCTCCTCCAGGGAGAGACGCTCCCTCTCAAACTGCTGCTCCAGCTCCTGAGGAAACCAATCAGAAATACACATCTGTCAAAACAACAGAGCGGTGAGAGCGAGCCAAGAGCTCTGGTGAAGGTTCTCTGTGTCGAGATCAGTCATTCACACAAGGTGAAACAGGTAATGGCTCCAAGTTGTGCATGTTTTATTAGAGGCCAAGTAGCATTTCATTGGTATTCATAGTGTTTTACATCTGCAAAGACACTGAGTCATCCGGGTTAAAGAACATCTGAAAGAGAAGAGTCAAAGCTGATCAAATCTTAGTAAAACCTATGCGGCAAAGTGGCAAAACACTTCTCAGGCCAAACAACAGATCTTTTCTCTATGTAAGTACTACCATAAAACATCATTTTAAAGAAAAGACGAGACGTCATGAAGAATTTATTCATCTGTTAGACAAGTAATGTGAAGTCAAGTCATCTCAGGTAAAGTCATGAATAAATTTTAAACCCAAATTCAGCAAAAAGTTAAGCAAGTCTACAGTCATGGCAGTGGCTCTGTGAGGCTTTATTTTTACTTTAACTGGTGCTTTGAGCTAAAAGCTGACATGTCCACAACAACAAAGAAAGTATACTGGAGTTTAGCAGTAGGATTTTTATTTTATTTTGTTAAAGGAGTAATTCTTGTGGACGCTAAAAACAGTGATATCAAATGAAGAAAACACATAACTAATGTAGCCTATTTTATAAACGAAAGAAATTGCTACATTAATTACTACATAAATATTCATGTGCTGAATGACTTTGTGGCATTTTATAGAGCAAACAACTAAAAGATTAACTGAGAAAGTCGTTGACAGGTTAATCTGTAATGAATACAATTGTTACATACATTTTTTTCTAATAAATACTGCTAGAAGGACTTTTTTTAATATTAAAAGAGTTTTGCGAGATGCAGTTAAGAGCATTATTTGTTACCAAATTGTGTATCAACCTAAAGTCAATGTTGGGTAAAACCAGCCAGAAAGACTCATCCAGTTTCACTCTGAATTTAATATTAGTGATAGACTTGTTGAAGATTTTACAGAGTGAAAGAAGCTACAAAAGTGAAGTGTTCAACTGAAACAAATCTATCTGTTACCGGGTTTCTTTTACAAAGGTGGTAAGGATCCAAACCTCCACGAACCAAATCAGCACCTAGGCCCTCTGAAAGCCCAGGGAAAAGTCTGCACTACTTGCTCAGATATTTCAGCGAACATTTCCATCCATAAACAACGAGCACTGATGCTGCACTGAAAATACGATGCAATGAAAAGCTGTAATTCAAAAAGGAGACAGAAAATGGACATCAAATCTGAGAGTGGTGTCACATTTGTCAAATCTTTGATATACATGCGGTACTTCTTCAGTCATGGTGCTGATCCATAACTTTGACACTACAGTCACTGCTTTTGTCTGTACAAATTTCTAAAAATACTTCAAACAGTTCTCTTGTCCTTGACAGAGAGGAGAGAAGGAGCTCCTGCATTGTTACCATAATAAAGCTTATTATGCCTGGTGATGAATGGGGAACGCTTTCTGTTATACTCTGCAATGATTGCTACTTTCCAAGGACAATTAGAGCTGAGGGAAATTGCTGTAATGTCAAATGAAATTTGCCACCATTATTCATGATACAGGAGGACAGAGTTTGTAATGCTGTATAAAAACACTTGGTGCATTGACAACTTTGATGTAGTCCCATAAAAATGAATGGGACTTCACAGGAATTAATCTGAATGGAAGAAAAATGAAAAATCACAGTAATTCTTGTGCAATGCTTCGTGACATCTTACATTTGACTTGTCATTTAGGGAGTCACAGAGTAGGGAAAGTTTCTCTATTGTGGCTGACACACTTATAATAATGACTTTGATATCATGCAACAACACAACAATCTGTAATCCGTTGCCCACATTACACCAATGACCACTAAAAACAAACCAACACATTAGTCCACTCCTGTTTTGCCTCCAGACTGGCTCCTTATTGTTTCTTGCATTCTGCTTAAGCAACCCGAAAAGGTGCTACAGATGCTACAAGAAGCTGAAAGTAGACCAATACCTGCCAAAACATAACCCCAAGTTACAGCATGATCTCTCCACTATCTGCTTGCAACCTTTTTCTCCCACAGGCCCCCGCAAAAGATTTTTCTCAAGACTACCGCTTGCTCGTAAATTGAATTGTGGAATGGGCCTTGGGTAGAAATCAAGATGTAGAGCATCTTCAAACACTCCTCTTCTATCTCTCCATGTTACACAGACTGCGCTATAGGAATTCAATGCTTTGCTCTCTACTGTGCTAACTTTTTTGTGTACAGTCCCTGAAGTCAGAAATCAGTTGCAACAGAAACAACATATTTTCACTTCATAATTTGATTTTGAAGCACTAATCGGTTATCTTTTTACACATCTAGTAGACATGGAGCATTTGGAGTTGTGTTTCTGTCCAGCAGATGAATGCAAGACCCATACGCACTACTTCACCAGCTAGGTGCCAAAATATTTAAGAGAAAACCTGTACAATATATTTAGGTAAAGCTGGTTAGATAAGTGGCTGCAAGGTGGCACAGTTGGTTAGCACTGTTGCCTCGCAGCAAGAAGGTCGCCGTTCACGTCCTGGTGGGGGCACCGAGGTTAATTGGTGATTCTAAATTGTCCATAGGTGTGAATGTGAGTGTGCTTGGTTGTCTGTCTCTAAGTGTAGCCCTGTGATAGACTGGTGACCTGTCCAGGGTGTCCCCTGCCCCCATCCCAAATCAGCTGGGATAGGCTCCAGCCTCCCCGTGAGGACCAAGCGGTGTATAGATAATGGATGGACGGATGGTTAGATAAGCCCAAAACTATACTTAGAGTATGGTGTCCTGTGACAAAGATTATGTTCAAAAAACAAAATGAGGCAACATGACAGATGTTTGACGACAAATATAGCATTCATATAGAAATACAACTATCTGCTATGGAAATATGTAGTGGAGTAATTACATCCTGAGCAGAGGATGAAGTCTCAGTCCCTCTGTGTGTGCTGAAATCTGAGCTTCTCTGTTAAATGGTCTGTATGTATATAACATCATTTTAACCTAGGACCTTAGCTTGGACCGTCACTGTTCTTTTCTGGCAGCCACAGCCACACATGCATGTGAGGTTCCCCCTTTAAAACTATTGAAATGTGTCATAAACACAAAGAGAGTGACGTCCCACATGACACTAACCAGTGTTCAGCCGATGCTCTATTTATATGCACTCGCTTTGAGGCTTTGCTGCTGTTTTGAGGCTCCTCTTTACTACTTGTCCTCCGTTTGTGTCTCTTGCACTCCGGTCTTTCCGTCTCTGTTTCCACACATGGATGCGCTCCAGTCTGATGTGGAAACAGACATACACGGAGCGGAGCAGACACAGATCAATAAACTATCACTATGACTGCTCAATGTATTTTGCAATGTGGTCTAATGGTTGTGGCTGAAATGCTTGATTGTTGGCTCGCATGTTCACAATCTTTCTTGCTGTAAATAAAAGTGAAGGGAGGGGGAGGTATGACTGAGATGCTGGTGTTTTACCACCATTACATTGGATCTGGATGTTTTGCACACAACCTTTAAGGGAATTTTCAGCTATCCTGAGAATAGACACTCTACTCTTTACATAAACATGGAACTGGAGTTTACATAATTTTATCATCATGCACTATATTATATTACACAATAAGCAAGTAATTAGATTTTAATTGGTGTTCTATGTATGTTACTTTAAAACAAACCTTCTACTGCAAACATGAACATATTTCTTCAACTAACATTCAAGTTAACTTATAAATGGTAGCAAGAGGAGGATGAAGGAAAGGACAGAAGCCTGAATACTTCAGTTCAGAACATCATTCAACCTAGACAAACTAAAGAGGAGCAAAAATGAAGCCAAAGCAAACAATATGGGCTTTGAACTGCTTCCAGGCTACGTCTCAAAAATAAACATCAACTTTCATTCCATTAAGAGCACAAAGCTGGATACAGTCCTAAGGCAATTTTATGGATCCATCTCGACAACTAAAGCAGAGCTCTACAGCATCAGCAGCTATCTTGGGCTTTGGGCTGGTTTAAAACTTTATATCAATAAGCCTCCCGTTAGCTGCTCATGGAATTTAATACAGGACCCAGAATTCATATCAGCTAATAATGCTCTGAGAGGTACTGTATAAAGAGATTAGAAGGGCTCGGAGAGACAGAGCAACACAACACTTCCTGTATCAACTGGAGACCATTTTTAAACCTAAAGTATTCTCTAACTCTAAGTCCAGACAATTCAAAAGGTTTACTGGTTTGGTGCAATTTTCAGTTGCACCCAAAGGGTAAAATGAATCTATATCTCTAACCGGAATGATTTATCCTAAAACTAGATGTGAATGAAGCAGAAAAATCACCATGACCTATAACAAAAAATATAAAGACCAACTAGAGAGAGGCTGAGAAAATTGATGGGGAGCGATATTTAAGGAGTGAAGAAATCCTGTCTGGCTGGCAGCATCTCTCCCAAAATACCTGAGAAAGATTCAGTCTGGTGTAAAGGCCGTCTATCTGCACCCCAGGAGGGTAACAGCTGCAACAGACAGCTTCTGGTGTACCGCTGGTCCTCTGGGAGTAGACCAGCTGTCACAGATGTTACCAAGGATGTGCAAAGAGGCAGGGACACCTTCCACCAACCACAGCCTGAGAGCCACTGCCGTACAGAGCCTGTCTGACATAGGACTCGAGGCGAGGGAGATCATGGCAGTGAGTGGGCATAGGTGCGATGCTTTATAGAAACAGACACTATTATGCGAATCGTGATTCAAACAAAGCCTTGCCTGTCTTGCAGATATGAAAGCTCGCTTATCAGTTGCTATTCATAGAAAGCAGGCAACAATGATGTGACTTGTTGTCTGATCAAACTGGAATCCCACATGCCAACAGGGGGACCGTCAAAAGACTTGTATTTCACTGCACTTGGAAAAAAAATAAAAACATACAAGTACATGCACATGACACAAGTAGCT